TAAAATGAACTTTTTTGATTTTAGCAAATGGCTGCAATGAAACAAAGTGAAAAATTTAAAGGGGTCTGAATACTTTCTGTACCCACTGTACATCGGTCAAATCATCATGTGACAAATTACAAAGAATACAATTATACAAACAGCATTTACAAAAATAATTTACAAGTTGTCCATGAATAAACAAATCATACCACCCTGATAAAGGCCAAATGGCTGAAAACATGTAAAGAACAAAGCATGGTATATTGGAGAAGAGTTGTGCTTTTCATTTTTAATTTTGATAGCTTGCATTGATTATCTCACTGGTCTGTACCTCACTGTGTGTGTTCTGAAAATTAGAGACAGCCAGGTATCGCATCTAAAAGATGGTCAAACTTTTCCCTTTTAAAACTTCACTGCACCATCATGAATTGGAAAGGAAGCTTACAATTAAGTACATTTTGAATGCAGGACTTTTAGTAACGGAGTAGTTTTATATCATGGCACTTTTCTTTTTATTTAAATAAATAATTCGATGTTTTCTCTCCCACTACTGTTTGCATTGATACCTGTTTAAGTAGTGTATTTTCCAAGTGTTTCATTCTCTCATTGTGTCGCTGTCTGCTACACTTGCAGAGATGCTGCTCTTATTTTGAAAACTAACCGGAAGTATTCTGTTGGAGTCCAGAGCCGAGAGGTAAACAAACGGCCGCCGCTTCCTGTGATATTCACAGATAGCCTCCTCGTGTTCGTACATTTGTAAATAAGTTAGATACATTTGGTGCACACACATTTTCTTTTTCAGCGTGTTCATTTTGGAGTCGTTGTCAGTCCTACGAAATTACTGGAATTTCACAACCCATTGTGCTAACGGCTAGCTAGCTAATTAAGCTAATTAAGCTAGCTAGCTAGCTAAGCTACGTGTAGTCGACGTGCACATCACTCCAGCGATTTATAAATAGCTGTCCGTCCTCTACTGTAAGTATAAAGGTTTAATATATTTGGGACGAATCAGTAAGTTGCTACCATTCATAAATTATCCTGAAAATTACGTGTTTGGGTGACGTAGCGTCAGCTTAACAGTAGGTTCACCAAAACATTTTTTTAACGTTACTAAGCCCATTCTTCTGGTTGACTAGAACATGCTGACAACTACTAAAGGGTCTATTTATCTAACGTTAGATCACAACATCGAATAAAATAAACCTGTAAAATAAAGTAGCTAACAATTTAAGGATTCAAAGATCATTTATTGTTATTGTGTAAAACGGATGACTTCAGTTGTAGCTCAACAAACAATAGTACATTCCTGTGGTGCTTTTTTTATTTATTTTTTATTTGCATCAATAACCATAAGCTGCACATCCAAAATATATACAGTAGCTTATTATACACAATGCCATAATCAAGCATGGATCAACTTACAGTCTGGACCCAAAATATAACATAACTGAGATAAAAAAAACAACTGACATTGATTGGTGAAATGTAGCCTATTTAATCTTCTCTCGCAGCAGCAGCAGCTTTTTGGTTTATTAACACAAGATCTCTCGACAGCCTCAATGTGAAGCCATCAGTGGAAAGTATGCTCTTTGTCCCACACTGAACACAGTGACGGGACAGTGGAAACACATATAAAGATGTGATCCTGATGATAGTGTGCGTGTTGTTTTGCTCTTCCAGGCCCTGTCTCCACGGAAATAAGACTCCAAGCAGCAAACACTTGATGTTTATGGAGAATAATGGATAACCTTGCATCAAATAAGAGCCACATACCCTGTCAGTCGTGGGCGGGCCAGAATGTCTGGTCCACCGCTTCAACTCAAGGATCCCTCCTCAACCCACTTCCCAGCTCTCAGCATCTCAGCCTGGGCTCGTCTTCTGACCAGAGACCCTCCTACGACCACCTGCAGGAATCCAATCAGAGCTGTATGAGCGACCTCGGCTCCTTATCATCCAGAAACGACGCTCATCACGCCGCTCTGTACAAGGCCTCTCTCATCAGCAGCAATCCGTCCTCCAACGCGCTGTTTGCCAACACTACTGTCCCTGGCACCTCTCACATGATCTCCTTCCCCCAGCAAACCTCTCACACTTCATCAATGCTGCTAACCGCAAACCACGGCAAAAACATACCGCCACCGTCTCTTCCCCGAACAAACCAAGCTCCACAGCCTTGTGGGCCACAACTTCTACCACTTTTCTCAACCAACATCCCTTACAAAGCCCCATTTCAACCTCCACTGTCCAATCAGAGTTTACCAAACGGACTTCTGCCAGTTAGCCTGCCGCCATGTGGACAACATGTAAGTACGTCTCACGCTACTTTTGATGGGATGAATGTGGAGTTGTGTGGTGTTCCTGGATACACTCGCAGCCATGCCTCATCCGCTTCTCAGGAGCAGAGTCAGTGGATATCTCCATCACACTGCAGGGGTAAGCTGTACTACCTTTATTCGTCGTGTATTACTCATCAGTGTGGTTAAACGTGTTGGGATTGATTTATGTAAGCCACAGCTTGTTCAGTACTTGTGTGTGCCTGTATATACATACGTTTTTGTATGATAAAGTACATTTGTATTTGTATTTATTTGCTACGCTTTGTTGTTACACAAAGTTAAGACAGCAATGTTTAAGTCAAGCCTGACGTTGCCTTTTCCATCAAAGAATGATCCCAGTTACTTCCAGTTTATTGATTAAGCTCTGGTATCGGATCGGTACTCTGTATCAGCTGAGACCCAAAGCCCACATATCGGTATCGGTGTATCCCTACTGCAGATTAGTCACTTGTTTAAATAATTGGTGCAGTTCAGATTACAGTGCTGTTTGATGTTTTCTCTAACTCTTAAACTGTCTAACTTGCTTGTTTTTTCCTCAGGAGCTGTAAACGAGTCTATCCCTGACACAGCTGCTCATCCTAAAAACAAGCCATCGCAAGAGGGGAAGAGTAGTCCACCGGTGAGGAAATGAACAGCTCTAACACTTATTAAATGAAATGTTTTTGTTGTGTTCGGTGGTCTATTTCTGTACATATCTTCACAAATAGAACTACGGTGTTGTAAATGTTTTCCATGTTTGATGACAGAGCTGTGTGATTTCATACGAGGTCATTGCCTTTATTTTATCCCTCAGTTTATTTTCATTTCTATCTGCTTTCAGGCCAACAATGAGAGACAACGTCAAGTGCTTTTACATCAGCGTGCACAACTACTTCAACAAGTGGCAGAGCTGGATAAACTTGTGAGTGTGAAGGAGGTCAATACTATTTATTTAAGATCATTGCCACCCAGTACAACTTAGAACCTATGCATTACTTTTAGTTATACATTGCTTCTATCTCTGTTGTAGAGACTATTATTGATAATTCTACACACAGTTATAACCTTTTGACTTCCCTTTGTCCCCCCCCACTAAGCTGGAATCAATCCCCCCAGAGGAGAGCAGTGATGGGAAGTCTCCACACAAAGCTGTACAGGTAGGTTACATTTGATTTGATTTATACACACACACACACACACACAAAAAGATGATTGCATGTAAGTTGTTGTTTTTTTTCCTTCACTTTTAGTCTCGTCCATCAATGAATGATTCATCTCACTGTGAACAATCCAAGACCGGAGATGCACAGCAGGTTCAGCAGTCTGCAGGAAAGTCAAAGGTAGCTCCACGTCAACGTCTTTATGGTGCATCATTTTAGTCATTTACTCACACGCACTGCTACGCACACACGCCTGCTCCTTCAATCTGTGCATTTTATTCTGTTAACAAATGGTGGTAAAGGCTCAACCTAGTCACTTCTTTTTACTGTTGTTTTGCTTTTCAGTCACAGTCGCATCTTTTGTCGGACTGTTCATCTCCTGCGTCCTGTGATGAACAAAGTGAGGCCTGTGATACAGCAGACGATCTAATGTCAGCAGCCGAATCAGAGGTAGTGACCTGTGTATTATCGTTAGTTAAATCCTTAAGAAGTCGGACATGTTGGTTCAGATTTCCAAGTGATGCATCCGAGCATGGCCTCCGCCGTGAGATGGTTTGCACCATTAGGCCTTAGATTCTGACTGTTTATCAGATAAAGCAAGACATTTAATGACATCACTATTAATTACATTATTTTCTGTCAGGACAAACAATACATTTAAGAGTCAAGCAAACAATTGGCAGATTTATCAATTATTTCTAAAATGTGTTTCGCTGAAAGACCTTTGTGATGTCCCAGAAAACTCTGTTTTTTTCATCTTTGTCAAAATAAAGTATGAAATATTCCCTAAATACTGGACAGAAGTGGTGAAGCGATCTGATAACAGTGATTTTAGCAGAGCAATTATGGAATAGTGATAATTTCCCCGTTAATTACGTAAACTTTTGAAGCCGATCTCCAGTTTCACAGCATCGGGGATCTTGATGTTGGTGTCAAATTCCTCTGTACCTCAATACAATTTACACAAACGTTTCATCATGAAATATTTTTATGTGAAGTCAAATGACGATAAATACATCTTTATAGAATGTTGTCTTTTTTTAAATTAGCTTTGATAAGTTAGTATTTATATATTGGTGTCTTTGTTTAGAAATGGAATATTGGAAATTACAATATTGGATAAAAAAAGATCGTATTTTCACATACAGTTGTTTTTATTTTATTTATTTTTACCAGAAAGAAGAATCGGCCGAAGACAGTGATTCTGATTTCCTCCACGACAGTGATGGAGACTTCTCTGACTTCCTGTCTGACTCTGACTGGGGCTCTTCAGATGAGTCCGGTCACAGCAGGCCCTCGACCCCCGCAGTAGAAACACCTCCTCTGCCGGATAACAAAGGGCCGAAATCAGGAAGCTCTTTGGTTCAAGAAAAAAGCGTCGCTCCCCCAAAAAAGATCCGCCCAACTAATCTGAGGAATTCTTTTGAAACCGTCGTGCTACCAAGTTCAAATTCTACAGAAAAACGCGTTTATGACCGGAGGAATTATTGTTTGTTTTGCACTAACCCGCTGTCCAAAATGTCGCGTCATCTTGAGAGGATCCACAGCGACAAACCGGAGGTTGCCGCTGCGTTTCAGTACCCCAAAAACTCCAGAGAAAGACAAAAAGTATGGAACAGACTAATAAATCAAGGCAACTTTGCTCATAACAAAGAAGTCATGAAAACAGGAATGGGCCAACTTGTTTCCCGGAAAAGGCCGAAGAAAACGCAGAGAGCCAAAGACTTCCTTCATTGTCTGTACTGTCGAGGTCTTTTCATAAAGACCGCCATGCACAGACACATGAAGTCGTGCCCAGAGAAAGTGACGAATGAAGATGAACCAGAGATCGGAAGAAAGCGCATCGCATTGCAGTGTGTGCTGGAAACCGTAGAGGACCTCGGAATAAGCGATGGTTTTAAGAGCCTTCTGTCCCCGATGGTTTTCGACGACGTGACACAAGCGATCATGGCCGACGAGATCATCTTGCAGTTTGGCGAGGACCTCTTTAACCAGGATGGATCCAATCCGAAGAAGCATCCTTACATACGACAAAACCTTCGTCAGATAGCGAGACTTGTACTCGAAGCTCAGAATATAACCCCTCTGAAGAAACTGGAGGACTTCTTTCTCCCTTCAAGCTTCCCACATGTGGTGTCTGCGGTGAACGCCCTGGCAGGCTACAATCCAGAAACCAAAACGTACGGCATCCCGTCGCTCGCCATCAAGCTCGGCTACGACCTGCAGAAGACCTGCAGTATTGTTGAGGGCAACGCCGTGAAGCGCGGCGACGCAACCTTGGCCGAGTCTGCGAGAAACTTCCTCGCCGTGTACCAGGAAAAGTGGAACGGGCTCGTTTCTGCAGGAGCATTGTTGGCAATCAGAGAAACCAAATTGAACAGGGAGAAGAAGGTGCCGTTCGCTCAAGACGTGAAGCGCCTGAATTCCCACATGGAGAACGTTCATCTTCTTGCAGAACAGAACCTCAGAGACGCAAAGTCTGCAGAAAACTACGCCGCTCTGGCCAAGGTAACGCTCGCTCGGACAATACTCTTCAACAGGAGAAGTCTCGCGGAGATAGCGTCGATGGAACTAACGGCTTTTAAGTCACGGAAAAAATCTAACTCTCAAGACGGCTTGGACATATCCGTCTCAGATTTGGAAAGGAACATGTGCGAGTTCTTCACAAGAGTTGACGTTCGAGGGAAGTGTGGGAGAATGGTCCCTGTTTTACTAAAACCGTCGTTCGTGTCGGCTATGGAGCTCCTCACGGATGTACGCAAGACGTGTGGAGTCCCCAGACAGAATCCCTTCATTTTCGGCCGACCGCAAGGCCTGTCTGCCTACCACGGGTCAGAGTGCATCCAAAAATATGTCAAAGAATGTGGAGCGAAAGACCCTGAAGCGCTGACATCCGCGAAGATCCGGAGGCATTACGGAACAATGCTGCAGCTGATAAACCTGGATGAAAACGAGGCCGCCCAGATTCTAGGCCCTAATAATCAAGTCCAAATCCTGCGCGAGGACAGCGGCATGCGGCTGGATGACGTTGAGATGCACTTTGATGGTAGGAGTTTTGAATAACTAACATTTGTCAATATATTTTTGTTTTGTAAGGCATGTGCGTATGGATATGAGATATCAAAATCTTGGGCTGGGTTGTTGCACTTTGGGTCACTTATTTCTCTGTTTTTATCATCATCAGATGTCGGTCATGGAAGAGCACACGGAGCAACGACAGACGCCAGCGTGTTTGTATCTCCAAAATCGGACAAAGAAGGTAATCGCCAAGAGTTCCTATTTAATGTCCATCTAGTTGTCCAAGGTTATTTTGATGTAAAAAATAAATAAAAGAAAATATGGACAATAAAGATAATGGTATTTGGGGTTTGGAGTATTTGGAGTGCAAAGAGTACCTGTGATGACAATTAAATCTGCTATTATTTTTCTCTTGTCCCACAGGCTCCAAATATAAGGGGAAACATAAATGGGAGGAAGCAGAGGTTCTTGCTGTTGAAAGACACATGATGCACCTAATTAAGGGACAAAAGATTCCTCAGAAAAACGAATGCATTCAGTGTCTCGAGGCGGAGCCTAAAGCGCTGAGGATCCGTTCGTGGAAAGGTGTGAAAGACTACGTCAGAAACAGGATCACTGCCCTGAAAAGGCAAAGCGTAACTCCCAAAGCTACACACTGAAACAGTATTTATAGACGGGATGTTTTGTTGATGTTTTCCCTCTTGCATTTTCCTTTCCTTCCCCACCCTCTGCGTCTCTTGTGCCACATTACGAGCGTTTACATCCATTAAAATGGCCAAGAATAGATTTACATTTCATCATTTTTATTTCCGTAGATTACGACTCAATTAATTTGTAAAACCGTATATTTTTCACTGTGTTTTTGTTCATCCAGATAGACGGCTCATGCATACGGACACATAATGTGGAATCCTCTAATGGATAAATAGTACGTTTTTGGAGCTGTAAGTTAACTTCTGTGACCGGGGTATAAAGTATACTGTAATTTGTTATTCTCTTTGGTATACTGCCTTTTGTTTGACTTTGTATAACAACTTTA